TCATGGCTCATGGGTTCAAGCCCCGCATTGGGCTCTGCGCTGACAGTGCTGAGCCTGCCTGGGTTTTCTCTCCCTCACTCTCTCTGCCCCACTCCCCCCACCCCCGCTTGCCCTTGCTCTTACTCTCTCTCACTCGCTCTCTGTCAAAATAAATAAACAAATAGAACACGTGGACTGAGACATATTCTTTTGGCCACCTTTGGAAAATATACTCTGCCACAGCAGGATGCAGGAAACTCATAGGCTCAGGTTATCAGGATGTCATGCTACAAACATGTTTCTTTGATTTCAAATTACCTCTTTGTTTCAAGCATTAAAGGGTTTCCATTTCTTTTTTTAGAGATATGGTTTAGGTGGGGGCCTGCATGGCTCAATTGGTTAAGTGTCTGACTTCAGCCCACCTCATGATCTCAGTTTGTGAGTTTGAGCCCCACCTTGGGCTCTGTGCTGACTGCTCAGAGCCTGGAGCCTGCTTTGGATTCTGTGTCTCCTTCTCTTTCTGCCCCTCTCTAGCCCATGCTCGCTCGCTTGCTCTCTCTCTGTCAAAAATAAATTTTAAAAAATTTTAAAAATATATCCAATAGAGATACAGTTTAGTTGTATTTCTGTTCTCAAATTTTATCCATCAGGCCCATGTGTTAGTAGTGGGAGGAGAAACAGCCCAGTCCAAAGGCCCAAAACTGGATGTGAACTCTGTTACTTGTCTCTGGAAACTTCAATCCCATTTGGCAGATTGCCACCAAAATTAAATTAAGTTTATTCTCGAGTTTTAACTTGAGAGAAAAAAGCACATGAACTCTTTAGCTTATTGTCTTAGTTCTTTTGTCAAAGGTGAAACCACATATAAGAAGTATAATGGGTCTTTAGCAAAATAAGTAAAATAGAGTCATGCCTATATGTCGGTGAACTACAGAACATAAAAAATATTAAAAAGTCTTGAAACCAAGGAGAAAGATATATGACCTACAAAGAAACAATTATTCAGAAGTCACTCATTTCAAAAGTAACAATGTGAACTAAAATGCAGTGAATATTGCCAACATGTCGGCCAACAATAATTATCAATTAAAATACTATGCTGAACTAAAATATTACATGATTGAAAATGAAAATGGATTAAACTAACAATCATTAGGCAATGCAGAAAAAACTACTGAAAAGAAAAAGAAGGAAATTAAATCCAGAAAGGAGTGGTAAGAAGCATAATAAGCATAGAAATTGTAAACATATGGGGCATAAATCAGCTCATTCAAAAGTTCTTTCAAGTCATTACGGTACAAACTAAAAAGAAGAACGGTCAAGACACATCCCTGATATATTCCTTTCAACATTTTATCTGATGTATTAGGTGGTGGTTCGTGAAAGTGCTGACCCTTGCAGAGGTAACCACAAGATCCTGGAGCTCTATTAATCTAGATTAATTATGGCAAGAAAGACATAGAAATAATTACATGCAAACTGAACTCTCAAACTCATTTTAGTGATTGGTTTCCTCCTTGTTTATTACACCTCCTAAACTATAAAATATACTCCTTTTGGTGTTCCCTGTCTTTCCCTCCACCCAGATAGAGGTGCAAGTGAAAAGTTAATACAACATTTCCGGTTTCACTTCAACAGGTAGAGAGCTTGGAAGTCAAATCTCTCATCCTTACAACCTAAAAAAGCAAAACAAACTGAAAAACAACCTTTCCTGGACCCGTCAGGGAACGGGCATTGCAGGTCAAACTGCAAACCCAAAACCAGGGCAGATAGAGAAATTCAGAGTCACAGACGAGATCCACTCGGGAGGAGGAGCTGCTGGCACTAGCAGCTGGTAGGAAATGATCATTGTGACAAATTGCTGAGGCTGACAATGGAGCAGTCTGAGACTGAGAAACTCCTAGGGACCACACTGTTGGGCAGGGATCCCCCACTTCAGTCCATTTTACCTTCAGGAAGACTACAAAGTTTTCATTATAAAAATCAGAGAAAGATTGGGTGGATTTGGCAGAGGAAGGAGAATAATCATTGTGACAAATGTCCAAAGTGCTCTCTATAACACAGGTCTACTTCCCAGGGAAAAGATTTGACCAGAGCTTTCTCCCACCTGGGGGAAGGATATTCCTCCTACACCGCCTCATCTCCCTTTCTGGCCTCACTTCAGGGGGGAAAAAATCTTTTCCGTCCTATCAACACTTATGAAGGTCACAGCCCTCAGACACAGGCCTACTAAAAGACTGAGGTTTCATCTTAAAATTGTGCAATGCTTCCCCTCCCCCATACTATACCAGCACCCCAACAGGCCTCAATTATCACAGCAGGTTATAGATGAAGGAACCTATGATGTGCAGACTCTAAGAGTCCTAGGGAAACCCAAAACCTACAGGAGAGAGAAAACAAGGGCATGAAAGGACTCTGAAGCCTCTGGAACCTACAGCTTCAGCAAACATGAAATGCATTCCATCTTCTAGCCAGGTTAACATAAATTTTCCTAAATCCTATTGAACTCACTTCCTATATTACCCAATACAACATGACAGCTTTCAACAAAATCTTACAACCAAAGGCAAAAACAAAGGCAAGAAAGAACACACTCCAAAGAGAGCAAGCATTAGAACCTGATTCAGATATGACACAGCTGCTGGACTTATCAGATAAGTAATTTAAAGTATCCATGATTTAATATGTTAAAATATGAAGAGTAAACAACATGCAAGAACAGCTGGATAATATAAACAGAGATGAAAACTCAAAAAGAAAAAAGAATCAAAAGGAAATTATAGAAATCAAAAACACTGGAACAGAAATGAAGATTGCTTTGGGTGGGCTCATCAGTAGACTTGACATGGCTTAGAAAAAAGTCAGTGAGCTTGAAGATAGGTCAACAGAAACTTTCCAAACTAAAAGGCAAAGAGGAAAGAAAAAGAACAAAGCATCTAGAGCTGAGGGACAATTTTATTTTCAAAAGGCCTATTGTACATAATTTGAATACCAGGAAGAAAAGAAAGAGAGAGAAAAGGAGCAAGAAAGAACAGCATTATAAGCTCGTTTTTAGATTAATGTAGACATAGATGTTTACACAAAGAAATATTTGTAAATATGTGTATATACACAGTCTAATATACACATATGTATTTGCTTGTTCTATTAGCTGAGAGGGCATGGCAGCAAAGACACCCCAGTAGTAATTAGCACGCTTCGTGCTCAGAACTTGGTTTCCAATACCATTCTCTACTAAAAGGGCTGGTAAGGATTCTTTGGAGAAACGGCTAATTCTATACCCAGAGCACAAATGCCACCTCTAACCAGCAGCACTGTATGATCTGGAAGCTTTAGAAATGCAGAATCAAGATCTACAGGTAATCTGTATCCATGTTAAACTTTGAAAGGCACTAACTTAGGGGCACCTGGGTGGCTCAGTCAGTTAGGCTAAGCATCCAACTCTTTTTTTTTTTTTTTTTTTGCTTTCTTTCTTTTTTTTTTTTTTTTCCAAATAGTTTATTGTCAAATTAGTTTCTACATAACACTCAGTGCTCATCCCCAAAGTGCCCTCCTTCATGCCCATCCCCCCCTTCCCCCCACATCCATCAGTCCTCAGTTTTTGTCAGCATTCAAGAGTCTCTCATGGTTTAAGCATCCAACTCTTGACCTCTGCTAAGGTCTTGATTTCAGGATTGTGAGCTCAAGCCCCATATTGGGTACTGTGTTGGGTTTCACGCTGGGCATGGAGCCTACCTGAATGAATGAATGAATGAATGAATGACTTAGTGGCTATCAAATATAAATTGCCTATCTTCACCACCCCCCAGCAAAATTCTTCTAGTAAATGTCAATAATTTATTTCTTCTGATAGACACATTTGCTACAAAAGTTGATGAATTTACCAATGATTCTAATTGTAAAAATACTTCTAAACAGGACCAGCTACAGGCTGGATCTCTGAATAAAGACATTTTTAACCTTACTCTAAGTTCTGTACTGTTAACCATCCTTCTAACAGCTTAGAGGGTTGGAATAGGGAGTGCCTTTTTAACAAGCTAAGTGTGTATTAATCAGTTCAAGGTATTGATATCCATGAGCTGATAGAGGGGGAAGAAAAGGCTTTTTCCTCTGCCCAGGTGAAGGTGTGTTCACCTCTATCTACAGAGTGGAAAATCAGGCAGAGTAATTACAGGTGGAATAAGGACTATAAGCTCCAGATTACTCTCAGGAAACATTTCTGAGTCTAAATGCACTTTTTAATTAGCTCTTCCAATAGCATCATGCTAATTGGCTAATTTGGAAATGATAAGAGACCCTGTGTGCTTTAAAGAAAATCTGTTTGTTGATATATTTATTTGCACCTGAGACTGTCTTATTGCTGGCAGGACAGATATTATTAAAACAGAATCACCTGCTTATTTTAACCAGATTTTTTTCAACGAACACACATGAATTGAATTATCCCTAGGGTTTCAGGAGGAAGTATTAGCATTTTGAGTGATGGGAAATTGCCACTTAGCTGGGAAATAAATGAGCTTTAAATAGATCCCATTATTTTTTACAAGGTTATTATTGTAAATGTTTCATAATAGAAGAAATGCCCTTCAAGTCTATCCGCATTGGTGGTTTATGGTTGGGGTGTTAACCTCTAAGTAGCCCAGCTCTTCACATCCAGCCACAATGAGTTTTTATATTTGACTACATAAAATAAAATTACCTTTTATTGGCCCACATAATATTTCCAACAAGTTTCTATATTTGTTACCTATGTTGTGAAGAAAACGTATTAAGTTTATTTGCCTGGGCTAAGAAACTGGCTTTTTAAAGTTTTCATGGGTTTAATATATTTTACCTTTAACAAGACTATCCTGAACATGATAGAAACATGGGTTTAGGTGAGAACATGGCGATATATTTGGACATTTAGTTTTATCTCACTTGACTATTTCACACTGCTTTACTTATGTCACTAAAAGATGATACTTTATAATCCAAACAAGCCTTCACTGTAGCTTACTATTTAAAATGTTCCTTTCCAGCCTAATTACTGCCACTAAATAATAAAAGAAGAAACTGCGTGGATCATCCTGGATTTCAGAAAGTACACTAGTAAACAGTCTCCTCCCTCTGGTTTAATAGTCTCTTTTTTACTCAGAGTATTCTTGAGCCTCTGCAGCTATTCTGCACTGTAGGCTAAGGCTCCTCGATAAGTTTGGAAATGCTGGGGTGCCCCCTACCGTTGCAAATGGGGAAGCATGTTTCTTTACATCTCCATTCAGAGAAGGAGATTCTTCTGAAAATGATATTTAACCAAAGTTCAGATACAGGATGGTTAGTCATTTGGTAAGTGGATGGATGAATGTATGTATGTATGTATGTATGGATGGATGGATGGATGGATGGATGACTGGAAGGAAAATAGGTATATACAGGAAGCCCACCTGAGGATAAATTTTAAATTTAACTACTTAAATGTTTACCTGGTCTAGAGGTCTATTTATGGCCGGGGGAAGGGGAGGAGGAGATGAATATTACATGACTGAAGTATTTGCATGTGTACTTTTCTAAAACAACAGTGTGTAGCTTTCATCATGATTTCAAAGGGACATGAAACCAGGGCCATTCTCTCCCTGTTACCTTCCCTGTGGTCTTTCTTGATGGTATCAATATCCAGGTAGGTGATCCTTCTACTTAACAACATACTTCTCACTTTCCGCACTCCTCTCCTTCAATGATCCTATTCTCCACCTGTTTCACTCAGTTCCATTATCACATCCTAAACATTGTCATTACCACCTACAGAATTTCACTTTGCAAGCATTCCACTTTGTGCTCACCAACTCCTATACACACACACACACACACACACACACACACACACACACATAACTTCCCCACAATTCTTTGGCTGACTGGGATAGCCCAATCCATTAATTCTGCCATTTTTCACTATCATTCCCTTCTGAACTTTCTCTTAACTCATCTTAGTTTCCATGTTCTATTACTAGAATCAGCTCCTTGCATGCACTCAACTCCTTTGTCCCTTCCTACCACCTCCTTATCCGCCAGATGAAATTCCACCCCTAAATTCAGATCTCCACTTATTCTATGAAGAATAACCAAAGAAACTAACCAAAGAAAAACACAAAATCAAGTGATTGGTCTCTTTAAGTTTATGATCACCAAATTCAGGAGGGCTGTCAATTTTGCTACATTATTGATAAACTGGATTTCATCAAAATGTTAAGCTTATGCTCTTTGAAAGACACTGTTAAGAAAATAAAAAGGTGGAGCACCTGGGGGCTCAGTTTATTGAACAACCAACTTCAGCTCAGGTCATGATCTCACAGTCTGCGAGTTCGAGCATATGTCAGGTTCTGTGCTGACAGTTCAGAGTTTGGAGCCCATTTCAGATTCTGTGTCTCCCTCTCCTACTCTCTCATTCTCTCTCTCTCTCTCTCTCTCTCTCTGAAAAATAAACATTAAAAAAATTTTTTAAAGAAAACAAAAAGGCAAGCTAAATATAGGAGAAAATATCTGTAAAACACATACCTGATAAAGGAATTGTATCTAGAATATATAAAGAACTCTCAAAACTCAAGAATAAGAAAAGTCATTTAAAATAAAATAGGCAGTGAAGCACAACATGACTAAATTGATTAAGTGGTTAAGCATTTGACTCAATTTCTACTCAGGTGATGATCTCATGGTTCATGAGATCAGGCCCCACATGAGGCTCCAAGCTGATAGCATAGAACCTGCTTGGGATTCTCTCCCTCTCTCTCTGCTCTTACCCTGCTCACACTTTCTCTCTCTCCCTCTGTTTCTCTCTCAAAATAAATAAACTTAAAAAAAAAAAAAAAAAACCTAGGCAGCATGTTAGAATGTATACCAAAGAAGATATATGTATGGCCAATGAGCCCATAAAGGATACTCAACATCATTAGTCACTACAGAAATGTAAATTAAAGCCACAATGTGCTATTATTGCAGACCTATTAGATGAAAATAATTTTTTTAAACACAATACCAGGATGAACTAGAAGTCTCATAAATTGCTGGTGAAAATGCAAAATGATAGAGCCATTTTGAAGAACAGATTTTCAGTTTCTTATACAGTTAAGCATATACTTACCATATAGCCCAGCAATCTCACCCATAGTTATTCTCCCAAGAGAGAAGAAAACTTATGTTTACACAACACCTATTCACAAGTGTTCATAGAAGTTTTATTCCAATTTGCCAAAGACTGGAAACAACTCAAATGTCTTTAACAGATAAATTGTGGTGTATCCATACAGTGAAATATTACTCAGCAATGAAGAGTGAACTCCTGATCCATGCAATGACATGGATGGATCTTAAAATCATACTAAGTGAAGGCAGCTAGTCTCAAAAAGCTAGCTACATATCCCATGATTCCATTGATACGACATTTTGAAAAAGGCCAAAGCTACAGGACAAAAAAACAAATGAGTGGTTGTGAGGGGCTAGAATGTGGAAGAGGAGATGTTTACTGCAAAAGGGCACCAGAGAATTTTGTGAAGTGATAGAATTTTGTGTTTGTGACAGTGGATCTGACTGCATCTAAATGATACCTCAATAAACCTATTTTAAATTGATACAATGGCGCTTGGGTGGTTCAGCTGGTTAAGTGTCTGACTTCGGCTCTGGTCATCATCTTGTAGTTCATGAGTTCAAGCCCCACATGGGGCCCTCTGCTGTCAGTGTGGAACCCGCTTAAGATCCTCTGTCCCTCTCTCTCTCTCTGCCCTTCTCCTGCTCCCTCTGTCTCCCAAAATAAATGAACTTAAGAAAAAAGAAATACTTTTTAAAAAATTAAATAAAAAAATAAAAATGGTTACAATGTATTACATCAAGATAGTGCAAATGGTAAGAACTCATTCTTTTTTCATGGCTGAGTAATACTTTTGTATACCACATCTTCTTTATCCATTCATCAGTTGATAGACACTTGGGCTCTTTCCATAATTTGGCTATTGCTGCTATAAATGGCCATAGGAATATATTAAAAGTAATGGCTACCATGCATTGTCGGAACTCCAGCTTTTGTTCTCCAAATTTTGCTCCTTGTGTGTGCTTGTTTTCCTCAGATGCTAACACGGATTGAAAGCTAGCTAAGCTTACATTCTGTCATAGTGACACCTCAAGAGAAAAATAACAAAAGGTTGAAGGCAAAATTTTGTCAACCTAGTATCACAAACTAGACTTTGAATTTCATTCAACCAACTAAAATGCATAGACTTCTTAAGCATTTATCTACAATGCTTTCATTACAAATGTCTATATCATTCTGAACTAGGCCTTTGGTGAGATGAAAGGTTAACTCTAAGTGTTCATCAAGTTCTTCGGTGTTTTACAGAAAACAATAAAATTAACCTTAAAATCCCAAATCAAATTTATTAGAAACACACACAGACATTTAAGTCCTCCTACAGTGACTGCTGAAATCTAACATATCTAAAACCAGAATGGGCTGAACATTTTAATGGACACAGATATAACAATTCTTTTGTTTAAATGAATGAACTCCGAAAATATCACATGGTTGTTTTACACTTGATCCGGTCTGCATGCTGTAGCTCATCCAGAACATTTCTGATAGTCTCAATGGAAACTTCTCCTCTGTGATGCTTTTTTGATGCAAGATTCCATACATTTTCAAATTCTTCATCAGAAAGCTTGACACCAATGTTACATAATATCTCTGCAATCTAGGGGAAAAAATGAAAGTCAGACTGAGATTTGTGTTTTTAAATTTGTATTTTTTTTTTAATATATTAAATTTTTTTTAATGTTTTTTTTTTATTTATTTCTATGAGAGAGAGAGACAGCATGAGCAGGGGAGGGTCAGAGAGAGAGGGAGTCACAGACTCTGAAACAGGTTCCAGGCTCTGAGCTGGCAGTCAGCACAGAGCCCGATGCGGGGCTCGAACTCACGAGCCGCGAGATCATGACCTGAGTGAAAGTCGGACGCTTAACCGACTAAGCCACCCAGGCGCCCCTTTAAATTTGTATTTTAACAATATCTTCAGAGCACCTGAGTGGCTCAGTCAGTTAAGTGTTCAACTCTTGATTTCAGCTCAGGTCATGATCTCATGGTTAGGGAGTTTGAGCCCTACATCAGGCTCTGTGCTGATAGCATGGAGCCTGCTTGGGATTCTCTCTCCTCTCTCTCCCCGCCCTTCCCCTACTCTGTCTCTCTCTCTTTCAAAAGAAATAAAATTTTTAAAAAATATATCTTTATAAGACCTAAGAGTATGAGTATCCCCCAAAAAAGGTGTGTGCCCCCAAAAAACACATGTGTGTGTATGGGTGTACCTATTACATGTAATAATAAGCAGATATCGAAATTCCAATACTTTCAGTTCAGGAATCATTTTGTTACTACGAATATGACAGTGGGGCACCTGGGTGGCTCAGTCGGTTAAGCATCCGACTCTCAGTTTCTGCTCAGGTCATGATCTCATGGCTAGTGAGTTCAAGCCCCATGTTGGGCTCTGTGCTGACAGTGCGGAGCCTGCTTGGGATTGTCTCTCTCTCTCTCTCTGCCCCTCCTCCACTCACACTCTAACTCTCTCTCAAGATAAATAAACATTAATACAAATAAGACAGTCTTCACCTCTACTCACCCATATATAAAATTACTTTCAAATCTTTAAGTGTTTCTGGTTAGTTTAAAGGGAAGAAGCCAAATTCAAGCAGAAAGAGTAAAAAGTTAAAGATAGAAAACACATTGGATTTACATTCCATCTCACTCACTTCTTGTCACTAGGATTTTGTGTATGTGTTCATGCCCCTTGAAAATTAGTTTCCCTTCTCTAAAATAGGATCATTTATAAAATGCCCCTAAATGGCCTGTTATAAACTTTATAGTTGTGGATATGCAAATGCCAGAGAGATACAGCATGCATGAACAACTGAGCAAACTAAAATCTGAATATATATGAAAACCAGCAAACTTTGGTTATTAGCAATCTCTCTGCAATGATAATTATTAAGGGAAAACATAGTTTTTATGTCCCAGGGAAAATATAAGGAAGGAAAGATAAGAACTAGCAGTGGAAAGAAATGTTAGAATGAGTAGAAGAAATAAAAGATTTGG